CCACTGCTTCAGAACGAGGGGCGTTTCCGTGAGATAGACACAATAGTTTATTGTCTCCTCCCAGGCGCTCAACGTGGAAAGCGCTTTGGTTACACGAAAACAGCGCGCTTTACAGGCGCCTCCCTTATTTGCCTTATTTAACACCTATCGTGAACAAATATCAAAGGGCTCACTCGGGACAGTGACCACTGACATGGTTATGAGAAGAATTTTTATTATTTTTTTTGAAAAAAAACAGCTTTGTACAAAAGGCAACGATTTCATCACAGTCGTTGTTGTTGTTACTTTCGTCGTCGTCCATAAGCACCGTAATAACCTCCCATGCCTCCCAGACCTCCGTAACCTCCTAGTCCTCCGAGGCCTCCGAGGCCTCCTAGACCTCCTAAGCCTCCAGCCACGTCTGACGCGTAGTAGCATGCAGATCCAGTGGCTGGACTCATTCCGTACAATGTGCCGAGAATCTCACACTTGAATGCGAATTCGCCCAACTGGAACAGATTCACTGCGGCACAATCGAACTGACGACACGCTTCTTTGCACTGATCGATATCCTGAAAAAAATTGGGTTGCATTTTCAATGAGATACTGTAATGTTGAGAGCATTCGCTTCGCTTTGTTAATATGACCTATAGGGGACTTAAAGGCACATTTCGCGATTAATGAAAATGTCGGAACAGTGGGTTGCTTGTACCAGTGTTGTCGAGGAGCATCGAAATATCAGCGTGTCCCTTCGCGCGCGATAAAAAGGCGCGACATGTTCTTATTAGTTGCGGTATTTCACTGCTTGAGGTCGAAGAAGCGAGCTCCAAAGGCGCATAGGAGAGCCAGGCGTTAGAAATCCAGGACGTTGAAATGTTGTCGGCTGAGCTATTAGCTACTTTGTCATTCTCATTCTTCCACGAAATCAAATGGATATCACATGCATGGCGCGAAACCACGCAATTGATCAATGCAGACCACTTAAACCATCGCTGCGCACTGCAGTATAACATGAGGAAGCCCTAGCCCTTATTTTCGGTGTAGAACTTTGGTGTGTGTTCTCGTCCAACCAGGGCAATGGCCATCTGGAAGTTCTCGACCACTACTACTCGGGGAGATAACGATGTCTTCGATTCAGTCTGCCCACAGTAGTTAATGCAACTTTTTGTTATGCAGACGCCAATTCTGACGCCAGTGGACGTAATGAAGAGAAGGGACAACAGCTACACAGCTATCTTCCTCCGCTTCCACGCATAACAACAATTCAGTTACCTGAGCGAGCGATGCGTTGATGGCTTCTTCATCATCTCTTCATTCTGTTTAGCGTTAAATGACCGCGCACATTAAGAACCTGCTGTTCTGCTTTCTGTGTATCACATTATAGTAAGAGTTTACCTTGTACCTCAAAATGGCCTACCAAGCGCCAACTACAAATAGGTTTGGTGACCACCAGTGTGTGTTCGTCGGGGTGACCTCCACAGTATTTCCAGGTTATGGAGCGTAACTGAGCCGTTACCACACCCTTGTTCGCTGCGGATGGTGTGACGTTTCAGGGGAAGGGAACGCGAGCCAGGTTTAGAGCAGAGTCAGCCGTTCTCCATCAAGTGTGAAAGCTGGTAGATCACCAATCGGTGGAAGGTGGGTGGTGCCGCACCAACCCTAGCCCCCCTACACGGCCGAGCGATGGCAGTGAACAAGACTTTCTGTACAGGGGTGGGCAAAAAAGACACTTTGGCCGAGTCACAGTAAAGTTTACGCAGCCCAGACAGAAGACGTGGATACGAGTACCAGGGCGGAAGATACCCAAGATGTTCCTCGATAAGCAGGAGCAGGTCCATCACCTTCATGTACACCAAAATATGAAGCCATCTCCAATCGCAGCCGGACTGGAGAAGGCCTATGGAATTCACGTCACCTCCAAACAGCTGCGAAACTTCTTGTATGGAGTCACCCATGGACAGCTACCTGGGGACCGGCACTCTTGATCTGGAAGACCTCCAACATCGAGCAGCTCCGACAACGTCGCTACGGTCCAGGATATCATCTTCACCGCAGTCGCCAAGGCGCGGGTTGATGGTATGGACCGGAAGTTCCTGGAATGAGAAGACCGATATTTTCTTCGTGGGCCCCGGACTGGAAGTGAACGCTGACGGTTACATCGACCAACTCGAGGAGATGCCTTCATGTCGTCGCCTGTACCATCTTGGAAACTTCGTACTGCTACAGGATTGGGTGCCAGCACATGGAATCGAAAACTCTCGCCTACTTGGAATCGAAGGGCGTTGAGAACCTGAAGAAGACGGAATATCCAAGTGAGCCACCTGACTCAACCCTCCTCGATTGCCGGGTTCGAGTGGAGCTCAACGCTGGACTCAGGCACATACGTGCGGTCGCGTGGCAGAATTTCTCGATGGCGTTTGTCCAGAAGGTTGCGGTGGAGTTTCGTGTTAGTGTACGATGTTGAATTTGATGGTGAAAATGTCCAATCAGAATTTAAAAAAGGGTTGAAGGTCAACGAGGAAAAACGCCTTTTTCGCTCTCCCCCTGTATGAATAACTCTCTCGAATGGAACAAAACTCAACAAGAATAAGATTTTAAGAGCAAATCATTTGGATAGTTCACATCACAGCAGTTCAGTCACCTTTCACAGAAAGCGGCTTGGACCACCTAGTCAGGAACCTGACGACTGAACTTGTCGCTGAAGCATTCAACTGTCAACAATTGTCGAAATTGTTCGCAAAAGCGTGAATGACTATTTCTTACGCCTCAAGAAGATCGGCAGTGAACTTCAAAGGGGTCAAGGATCAAATATCTCTTTATATATCTATTTTTTATTTCAGATCCGCGACATTCACCCAATCGGCACACCCTTCACACTGGGCTTATTCGCTTGACTGAGCACTCAGGTATAAGCTGCAACCCGGCCAAACATCCCGCCCACTTCTTAAGCGCGGTTTTCCAAACATGTTTTTATGATATTCCGCTACAAGTGTTGCTTTTTTATTTCGCCTATTTTGGCACACACTTGCTAACCAAAAAGGATTAGTAGACTTAGAAGCGACCCTTATGTCTTTTTAATGAAGTTAGTTGATGTTTTGAAATTTTTTTTAACTTTTCCGACGTCTTTCTTTGCACATACATACTTTCTTAAAACAAATATACAGGGGGGGCCAAAAAAGTCATTTTGCCTCCATGACTTTCAAGGCGCTATAAGTTACACTTTATTAAATTTTTATCGGAACATTTTTACTACCATATTAAAGAGCACATTAAATACTATAATGATACTCCGCCACAGCCTTCTGGAGGAGCGCCATCGAGAAGAACTATCGGGCCGCCGCGAAACTGTGACGTGGGTACCGGACTGTTGAGCGAGATCGTTGCATTCTCCGCACTTGTAGACCACCCTGCTGTTGAACTCCGCGAACCGGGTCAATTGAGAGGAATTTCAGGTCAGGCTGACCTACTCGGATATTAATCTTCTTTTAGGTATCAGTTCCTTCCGTTACCAAGTGGGCGATCAGTGTTTTCTCCAACGCCCTTCAGTTAATGTCGTTGGTCACAACCTGTTAGCAGTTACAAAGTTTCATTAGAAGCGTACGGGGACGACATGAAAGATGGCGATATTCTCCTCGAGTTCCTCGCAATGTAGCACCAGCGCACATCCTCAGTCTGGGGCCCACGAAGAAAATCGGTTCATCCATTCCAGGTACGGCCGGTCCACACCATCAACCCGCGCCTTGGTGAATGGGGTGAAGATGATGTCCTGGACCGTAGCGACGTTGCCGGAGCTGCTCGATGTTTGAGGTCTTGCAGATCAAGAGTACTGGTCTCCAGGTAGCTATCCATGGGTGATTCCATTCAAGAAGTTCCGCAGCTGTTTGGAGGCCACGTGAATTCCAAAGGCGTTCTCCACTCAGGCCGCGACTGGAGATGACTTCATATTTTTGTGTGTTCATGGAAGGTGAATGGCGGCAGCCGGCTCCTGCTTATAGAGGAAGATCTTGGGTATCTTCCGCCCTGGTACTCATATCCACTTCCTCTGTCTGGGCTGCGAAAACTTCGCTCATATGTGACTCGGCCGGAATGACTTTTTTTTGCCCCCCCCCCCTTGTTATGATGCCATGCATTTATACAGCGACAACCTAGCCCTTCCCTCTGATCCGCCCGCTTCGCCATCTACTTATGGATTTCGATACTTTTCTCTTCAAATTTTCTCCTTCTCAGCCGTAGCAGGTAGCTCGGCCCCTACAAGCAGCGCCCACCCTTCTCACTTGCTGGAGCCCATCCGCTTTTGAAAAATTTGATAGAGATAGCAGGCTGAAAGTTCAAAACTATGAGTCCAAGGTTTCCCGTCACTCGACGTATATACCCCCCCCCCTTCAGTTTTCGTTTTCTGGTGTGACGAAGATAGCGTACGGGACTCCAGGGCCTGCCGAAATGGACCTTTTTAAAGTGGGTGGGCTTTTTACAAAGTGGACAAGCTTCCTGTTAAGTTGGGGGAGCCTACTTGCTACATCAAAGAAAATTCTAAGAAACAAGACCAAATAGGATCAAAGGTAATGTGGCCTAGTAGCGGATGCTACCATAAGGATGCAAAAGTAGTCGTGGTTAGAGGGATGTTAGGGCAAGGTTTGCAGCAGTCCATAGAGTCGTTCGGTCAACTAATTTCTCAGTGTGGAGGGCGAGTCCGATTTGGTTGGAGAAGTGTCCGATGCGAAAAAATGGAATACATATACGTGACATGTCAGAAAAACCAACTGCCACAAACAAAAGTTCTCATGCCAAATGCGACCCTTCCCTTCCCCCCCACCCCTCCCCGCCACCCTCATTACCGCAGCAACCAGATCCGATCACTGCCCTGCTGTAGATTCCTCAGCGTACGACGTGCCCTGATTGTATAGGGGACACGGTTGCTCAGGTGACTGCGCCCCCCCCCCTCCCTTGTCTGTCGTCTTGCTTGGTCGCACGCTCTCTTATCTGGTTTCTCCCTCAGTATCTCCATCGGTTCCTTGCCTCTCTGGGACAGAGAGAGTTTATATGGGTAGTTCTTGACGATGGGCAATTTGACTACCACATGCAGTTCTACTTTTCAACCCCGCTATCAGAGGACTCTTCAACGGCTCAACGCGAAATATGCCTTCAAGCCCTTGGCCCTTGTACCTCACCTGCACATTATCTATATCATACACCTTCCCACCACGACATTCCATTCGTTGTTGTAGGATGTAGGCTCTGGCACCAACGTATTGCATTGCTGGCAAATCTGGAATTATTCAAAGTCCCGCTGAAAGACAGTTTGGATGAAGAACGGTGCCCACTGCACATACAGCTTTTTTCGCTGCAGATGAAGGGGCGTGTCGTTGAGGCTGGATTTGACGCACAGCCAGCCTGTCCTTCACCATTCGTTGCAGCAGGCAAGCGGCAACAGTTGATGGAAAACGACTTATTAGGTTGTCCGGAAAGTTCTCAGCGTTTTGTG